TCTCTTCAACCAATTTGAAGCATTGTAAAGATAAAGTAAAGTGCTTTGCCCGGAAATTCTTTTTCAATTCCACTCTCGATACATCTGGAGTATCTCTGCCTGATCCCACCACCCCAGAACAGGCTTACTACTCAATTATGTGCACATAACTCCGTCCATTGTTTCTGATAGCATTTCTAAACTAGACCCTAACAAGAATGGTATTTGCAATTGTCTTAAAGAAATGTGCTCCTGAACAGACTACTGTTCTCTCCAACATTTACAGTAAATATCTCATTACTTCTTGTTGTCGTCCCTGCTTTTAACAATTCTGGGGAACATTCTGAACCCTCGAATTATCACCCTGTTAATCGTTTACCTCTTTTTAGTAAAGTACAAGAGACTGTAATCAACGCCGAATTGGTAAGTAGCTTACCAATCGACCTCCTTCTGGATAAACAATATGGCTTCCGTTTCTCAGTCTACCGCAGATGTGCTAAAAGCCATCACTGAATTTGCGTATGAAGCTATAGATAAGAATGGCTCTCTACAAACTCAAGGTCTACGGTGTCTCTGGACGAATATTTGACTTAATACATTCGTTCAAAAAAATATCGTGCAATGAAGCCCGTGTTGAATGGACACAGTTCTAGATCCTTTCATATCAATGCAGCCCCCACCCCAAGATCTCTATCCTTCTCTAGACGCAACTCGCTATTGGCCCGCTGGCGGAAGGCTGATGGCAACTCCAGCGATCCTCTGGTGTGACGCCACCGGTGGGCCTCTAACAGTCCGAGACGAACACGCCGGCAGTTCGACAGCGGGTCGCCAGCGGTAAACGCTAGTGGAATGCCATCCAATGACAGATTGGTGACTTGCGTGTAGTGTTAGAACTACATTGTTGTTATTTTTTTTTATCTTCATCAACGACGCTGTTATCAGTTCCCAACTAGGAATTTATGCTGATCACAATAATTTAATCCTGTCTTAGTACCAAGTTGGACAAGTAAAACTGACAATTTCTCTCGAAAAAAACCTCCAATCTGTGGTTAACTGGGACAATGAACTGCTTGTAAATTTTAACACCTCTAAAACAAAACTTTTAATTTAATCACCATAGAGAACATTTACTGCCATCAGCATTAATGATGCCAACCTCTTTGCGTTTTCTTGGGCTCACGTTTTCTACAGACACAAAGTGGAGGACTTATATTGAATTAATTTCTAGATCTACTACTAGGAAACGTAATTCAGTGTCGTGCCAGACAAAATTCAAAGAATGGATTTGTAACAATCGATCCTGACCTGCCATCTTGAATTCATTTCTCACCGATGTGACGTGACTTTCCTCTGTATTTTCTCCCAATATTTTCATGGCAACTATTTTTCTTAGTTGATTGACTGCATGAATTTAAGCGTGCTACTAGACTGGCAACTAAGTCTCACCGTTTTATTCTTAGCTATTTAGATGCAAACGTAAGTTTTATTCTAATAGTTTCTTTTCTAGAAATGCTCACCTTATTCTTCAAAAATTTAAATGCAATGTCAATCGTCAACTTATGTCTTCCTGATTTCTATCCTTATACTATTTTCCCCTCATTTATCCTCGATGAAGCGTCCCTCTTATTCTCATTCCACTTCCAGGACTCTTTTCGATTCCTAGTTTTATTATAAATTTGCTTCGTGTGAAATGGTTGAAAGAACACTGTTAGGCAAATGAATAACAAAAATTCGGTGTCACACTTTTCGTCCTCTTTCTCATTTACACGCACTCTCACGCATACACGCGCACATGCGCGCGCACACGTGTATAGGGGCAGTATATCTTTATTCAAACATATCTTGTTAAATATAACAGACAATGAATGTCTATTATGTTTTGTTATGAACCTTTCCAAGCGACGATAACGGTCGGAGAATAACATACGCATGTCTTTTGTTCGTAATGAAGTTCTATGACGTCATACATTACAACATGAGTGATAGAAGCGCATAACGAATTTACGACCAGAATAAAACATAATATGGCGACAGTTTATCCACAATGCTAGTTCTCAGAGACATACTTTTTCGGCAAAATTTAGCAAAACTTATTTGGATGAATTCGTGCTGCTGAATTATACATTATATATGTATACATGTGTGTGTGTGTGTGTGTGTGTGTGTGTGTGTGAAAATGATTTTCTTGGTCGTCTCATTTATTTTCAAGAAAAAAATATTTAATCTTTCCTTCATGTAATCACACCAAAAACCTTAATCTCTCTTTCATTAGGGATCTACATTTACAACTCCGATTAATTTTGATTGTAATATCATAAAAACTATAAATCAATACATTTCATGCAAGATTTGCATAGCCGAAATACATGCACATTTTTCACAATAGTTTTAAAAGAAAACAAAATCGCTTTGAGTAATTTGAGATATCAATTGACGTCTTTGTTATTGGAAAGATTGAAGAAATATTGTTCTTATATTTGCAGGAAATTGGTAACATTTTTATAAATTTTCCTGGCAGTAAATTAGATCCTATTTCAAGAAAGATCCTATTTCAACGAAGTCAGTGAACGCTAAACTAACAAGGTTATTTCCTTTATATCACGTGAGTCATTAACATTGTGTGTAGAAAATTCGGGAGAAACACGTGTTAACGTGTGAATCAAATATCTAACCGCGTCTTAAAGGTTTTTAATTGTCAAACAATCAAAGAGCCATCTTTCGACAATCTTTGAAAGAACACATTCATCCGACTCTTACCAACTAAAATATTCAGACAGACATGTTTACCGAAAAAGATTGATTAGAAACCAAGGTGCATGATGCAAAATAATCTAAAAGTAAAATTAGATAAAACAATTGAATTTTAGACCCATAAATATTAATTTACTTTTTTGAAACCACTAGTTCTACCAAGAGCAAGCAGTATGGCTTGGATATCAATGCAACATACATTGTAATTTCCTAAGAGGAGTTAAGCAATATATATCGTACTTTGTCGAAATTGTGAGAGCATGCAGAGACGAAATATTGAAAATCTAAGGTTAATAATTTGGGATTTGAGACAAATGAATGTGATCTCCTTTATTCCAGTAATCACTTCTAATATCGAAAGAAGTTAGACTGATTTCTCTCTGGAAAAGCTGAGATACTTCAAATATACTCAGTATTATGTTTCATTGAATAATATAGACATATGATGTCAGTTTTTTATACTGATCCTTTCCAGTTCTTTAGACAGTTTCATGATGTTAAGATGAAATTCACCTAGGAAAGCGTCATAGTTTTTGTCAACCCGAGTACATTCTATCTAGTCCAAGATCATCTCCAGGAGTGAATTATAAAGACAAACTTATTGTAATTGCAACAAAATCTGCATTCCGTTATTATGGTAATTTTCAAAAACTCGCGCGAATGCGCACTGTATATATTTTAAAATTTTAAATTTATTCTGTATGAATGTTTTTGAAAAACAAGCCTTCCAGTATAAAGGATCTGATCAGAAATTGTTAGAAATATATAAATTGTATTAAATGTTATTGAACTGAAAAAATACGCCGCCTTCCTTGATGAATTTCATGTTAACACCAAAAAACTGATTAGACAACTGGAAAGGATCACTATAAAATAGATACAATATGTCTACATTATTCAATGAAACATGTCTGAATGAAGATATGATGCAGATATATATATATATATATATATATATATATATATTTAGAGAGAGAGAGAGAGAGAGAGAGAAAGAAGGACAGAGCTAGAGTGAGTTCATTTTATCTTACGCAAACACACATGGTAGTATTTTTTAGCAAATGTTTTGTAAGGTTTCACTAGAGTTATTCATGTTGGAACCAGACGACTCATATGTCTTAACAATAAGGACTCTGCTGTAATGTATGAGAACTGTATAAAGTGAATCAATATTACATCTTTTAAAACACTCTATCGAATTACCTAAACGAAACTTCAAACTCTGACTACCAATTCCCTTTGGGTAAACTTCCAACTGTCATGATTTGCCCTTTTAAACATGCCCGAATCTTCGGGTTGAAAACTACATCTGTTTTTTCATTGCTGTTGATACACTGCCATTTATAAATTAACTATGTGAATAATGATATATTCTTTTGTTTTTTTTTTTTGTTTTTTTTTAAATCATCTTTACTTTATTTGCCTTCGAGTAAATAATCAAATATTTAAATTATTATCTCAACTTCAGGGTTTTATAATACATTTAATGCCATGTACAAAAAATTACTGACATAAATGCTGATTGCGTTTTCCGCCAGAGTTGAGTTATCGCTTCCGTCCGCTAGTTAGGCATTTTATTTTTACTGAAAGCTTCCTCACGGTATTTATCTTTTAGAGAGCAGGCGTAGAGTCATTGGAGGCGGGGTCGCGTGTTCAAGATTTGATTAAAGATTAAAAGTCAGCATGCAATACGCAGCACAGAGTGTCATTAAAGAACGAACCCAAAAGTCGACATTTTTCTTTTTTTCTTCTCCTGCCTTTGATTTGAGTTGTCAATGGTTTTGCGTCTGTTGTCCTTGTGAACATTTGCAGTGATTCACAGCGTTTCATCAGAAGGGCAGGCGCCGAAATAGAAGAGGTTAATTAAGCCAACTCTTGTGAATCTCGATCGAAGCCTTTTCACTCATTCTAGTCCAATTTTTATTATTGAATTGATCAACACAGATTGCCGGTAAATGGAACGAGAAAAATAGAGATCATGAAGATAAGAAAGAATAAAACGAGGAAGAAATGTAAAGTGAGGTTGGATACGTGACGAGGAAAGACGGACAGAATAATGTAAAAGTGAATGGTTAAAAGAGTCTGGCCTAGAAATGTAATAGAAAAACGTTGGTGAAAATACATCAGGAGAGATTTAAGGAAATACAGGAAAAAAAAAGAGAAAGCGACAAACTGAGGAAGAAATATATAATGAATAAAGAACGTAAATAACAAGCATGATGGGAAAATATAATACTAAATTGAAGAGTAACTGAAATAAATAAAGAAATTCAAAAGAAAAAAAGAATAAATAGAAAGAAAACAATCAAAAAGAAAGAAGGAACGGATGATAAAGAAAGAAAGAAAATAGAAAAGGAATAAAAACAATAATACTGAAAGAAAAGAAAGAAGTAAAAAGAGAGAAAAGGAAAGTAAGAAAGGAGCAAATAAAAAAGAAAAGAAAGAAGGAAAGCAGAAAATTATGAAATATTAAACAAAGTAGAAAAGAAAAACAATATAGACGTGATAATCAACAGGAAATTTCGGATGATAAACTGAAGAAAGAAAGAAAGAGTGAAAAGAACATTTTAAAAAAATGAAAAGAAAGTTTGAAGAAGATGGAAAGAAATCATTTGAAAGATAAAAAAGGCCAAAACGCACATATCACTGAAAATAGAAGACATAAAAATAAAAGAAAAAAACATGGGATGTTGCAGCCAAAATGTATACGAAAAGAAAAGAAGAAAAAAAGATAGATAGATAGAGAGTGAACCAACTTAGATAGATAGATAGATAAATAGCGAACTGACTGATATATATATATATATATATATATATATATATATATATATATATATATATATATATAGAGAGAGAGAGAGAGAGAGAGAGAGATGAAATGAAAAACAGCTAAATGCGAGAAACTGTCCACAAATAAAGAAAAAATAATTTATAACTTAAAATAAACGAAGAAGAGAAAGCAAGTGTTATAAACACACACACACACAAGCACGCACACACACACGTGTGTGTGTGTGTGCTTGTGTGTATTTAACAGACTGTTTTGCTGTATCACAGCTCATCAGTGTGATAGACATCCGATTGCCACAAGCCGGGATAGAAACCCAACCAATTTGGCATCAGTTGGAGATTTTCCACTGAGCTGTCAGCTTCCTGCAGAGAGGAAGGTGAATTTTTACGCATTTATTTTCGAATAAACATGCCAGTAATTCAGAGTGCTCAATTCATAGAAGAGCTTTTCCTTATCAGCAGAAGCAGTCACTGTTTACACATTCACGCTAAAGTGCTCGACCGAAATTTATTTTTTCGGGAACGTGTATATGTGTCATCCACAGACAGACTGTTTCGCTGTATCACAGCTCAGCAGTGTGGCTAGACATCCGATTGCTTCAAGCCAGGAAAAAATATATATGAATATTTTTAAAAGATCTAACAGAGGTGATAAAAGAAAAAGAAAAGAAAAAGTATCAAACTTAAACGATAAATAAGAAACATTAGTGGGTGATAAAAAATCTGAGGAGGTGCCGATAGAAATCAGAAATTTAGAAATCAGTAATGAAACAAGATGCAATTTCATTTGAGCAAATAAAAAATCGATAACTGACAGCTTTTCGTTTGCAACAAATTTATTCCAAGGAAGAAACGGGGAAAGGGAAAGCTTGAATAATGAACAGCAGAAAGAAAGAAAGAAAGAAAGAAAGAAAGAAAGAAAGAAATAAAGAAAGAAAGAAAGAAAGAAAATGTTAGACTGAAACCTGTACTGTGTGGAAAGCGAGGGGAGGTCAGTTGTTGAAACTAAGAAATGGAAGGTTGAAAGAGATGGCGATGAAAGGTGGGAAGTGATTTACGAATAAGATTTCCAAGAAAATATCAAATAAGACTTTAAAAAAATCGTTTAATAGTAACTGATGAAAAATTTAGACGGAAAATAATGATTGTTCAGAAGTTTCGCAAGGGTACTGGATATTTTTAGATTGTAAGAAACGCCAGCCAAACGATACTCCCACGCTATTTGCCCTCTTCATCTCTTCTCTGGTAGACATTGAATCAGGTGGAAAGAATCTTGCGTGAAATCGTTGAACCCCGATTGGTCAATAAGGAGACTTCCGCTCCGTTGCGTTAAGATTACATTTTCTCATTCGAATTCGTTGCGCGCGGGAGGCAGCCATGTTGTGCTGTTTCTACCCGTATAAGAAAAGATGGTTTAACAGGGAAAGGAGTAAAGTGATTTCGGGAAATGGAGCAAATTTAAAATTGAGGTGGAAAAACAATTTTTGCTGCTTAAACACATACAATAAAGAAGTGAAGTGTATGAAAGAATGAAGGAAGACAATGGTAGAGAGAAAACTGTTCGTAAATGTAAACATGTCTTTCGAAATGAATAACGGAAACAGAAAAGAGAACATTTAATCTCTTTTGTAAGTTGAGATGTAAACAGGAAATACTAAGAAAATCTTGTATAGATCTAACATTGCTAAAACTTTTATAAACTAAGAATCAGTGCCAAGTAAATGAGTGTAATGTTATCCATTGTGCCGAAGATACATTCACTAGTTACAAAGAATTAACAAAAAGTATTGCCATAATATTAATTCTTAATTGGTTTCAATAAATATTGATTGGAGTTTTCACATATCTCTCTATATATAAAGTTGTAGCCTCTGTCTCTCTGTTTGTTATCGAGCGCCTTCTAGAGTTTTGGAGATAGAACCTAATATCCATATATATTCAGAAACTAGAGTACTTGGATAAGTATATTTCATTTTGATCAAATGGGGCCCCGAGGGCAACAACCCCCCAACCCTGAAAATTTTCCCCTTTGATTTAAATTAAATTTAAATTTGAACAAGGGAATGACTCCTATCCAAAATATAGAAGGAGAAAGCCAGAAGATGGAGATCACATCAGCAAAATCATTGAGTAATACTGAAATGCAGGATTTTTCTCCAGAAATTATAACAATGATTTAAAATCAATCATCATTACAAAAAAGTATGAGACAGAGCTAGGCGCGGGTAATTCGGTTAGTTTTCTTAATAGAAGTTGCATTGATTCATGACAACTGATACTCCTTTTCTGTCAGATTTTAAATACATTTTTTCTACTAAATTCTTATGTAATACACCTGCATATTACATATAAATATATGTCAGTATTACTTACAATGTGTCCTGGCCATTGACAAACCCTTTTTGATTTTCAGTGTATTTAGATTTATTTTGCAAGCAATATTTGCATTAATTCCTGACCAATAGCAAACGCATTTTTCCTGCTTTCCACTAAAGTGCTTTATAGTTAATGCATTAAAATCTATACCCACAATAGCCGTATCCCCTCAGTCATGCTTGAGTTAAATCCTGACCACTAACAATGTTTTTTCATTTTCAATATACAACATAAATATTATATTGTGAATTTAAATTAGCCATATTTTAGGAAATATTATTAAGTTAGGCGATTAATTACCAATGTTTTCTTTGCCGCCCCAAATACTTACTTAAAATCCTATCTGAATATTGCAAATGTTAAAGGCAGCCATGATTATTTATATGATAATCATGGCTCTGTTTAACATTAAAAATATTCTTATATGATGTTAGACCAATATCATCATCTCTGTTGCTAGTTTCACAAAGACGTCCAGTCTTCTTCAAGTGTCTACTGACCTGGGTAATGTTCATGAAATTTTGAAATGCACCCTTTATTTAATCTACAGGGGCAAGTTTTTCTCTTTCTACTGCCCTTGTCTAGGGAAGTCTCGCTTTGTTCGTTTTAGTATTAATCAGTTATTACTTGCCTGAGACTGTACTATCCAGCCCAGGGATTGAACTGTCAATTTAGATTATTGAAACAGAACCGGGATAATTGCTTCGTTGTCTGATCTTCTTCCGGAAGGGGCAGAAGAGGAGAAGTTTTTTTTTTTCTCTCGTCGGAGTTGATGCTTCGTTTGTAGTATCTGTTCCGTACAAGAGGTCTCCTCTCCTCCCTTACTTTCTCTCCCCACCCTGTTGCGTGGACAGGATCCTCAGAATTGTTCCGTAATGGTGGTATGACCAGCTATGACTAGCTTGGACCAACGGCTCGAGTCGAGGCACACGGGTCCCCACGTTAAAAACTGACCTTGCGTCATAACCTCTGTGGGGAGTCAAAGTAAATAACGGGACAAACAAACTCCTGCCTGTGACACCACGCACCACCTAAAGCACTTTGTTTCATAATCATCAGCATCATCATTATTATTATTATTATTATTATTATTATTATTATTATTAAGACAATGGAGTTTTACTGTCACTAGATCCCCAACATGAGCTACTGGATAACGACAAGATAATTAAATCTATCAGTATCTCAATGTTGCTGACAGATTTATTTATTTTTTATTTTATTGAACTTCCTCGGTGAAACGCCCGGTAGCTTCAAATTTTTAAATGACTTCGAAAAATTCCTTCTATTTTAAATCCGTTTCCTGTTGATGAAAAAAAAAAAGAGAAAATATACAAAAATATTTTTTCTTATCAGATGTAATGGAGCTACAAGCAAGAAACAATACTTTTCGTCTTTCCTTTCTGGTTTTCCATCTTTTCTCCCGACTCGGCCCACAATTCCCGCCCGCCAAATCGTAACTTGAAGCAAATAGCAAAAAAATGAAATGGCGAAGGTAAGGCGGCGAATCTGTGGAAAGAAAGCGAAGCAAAGCGTAAGGCATCGAGAAATGCTTTTCATGAATGTAAAATCGCTTTTTTTTTTTTTTTTTTTTGGCTTTCTTTTTTGAATTCTTTTTTTTTTTGCCTTCTTATTTCGCAGCTTCCGTGAGTTTCCGGTTTCCATCTATATTAAAAAAAAACTTTTAGCATGTTTAATGTCAACCTTTTTATTTTTATTTTAGTCATTTCTATCTTATATACACTCGCATCAGCATTTGTTATGAGAGCAAAATATTCAAAAATCGAAAAAATATTATTTGGATTGAGATATTAATCATCAGGCTAATTATGAAACCGCTCATTAATATTGTAATTATTTCAATGATTATCTTATTTATTTATTATATTCATCACGTGATACAATTTACTTTTACTTGCTACGTTTTTCTTTTACTTATCGTTCTTCCGATGTTATTTTGACCCGCAGCTGTGATACACACATTCTTTTTACAACAATCGAAATATATAACATATTTGCTAATGTTTCATAATCTCACACGCACACACACACACACACACATATATATATATATATAATTATGCTATATTAATGGTTAAAGTGCTCAGTATCAGGGATAGAGCGTACGAAATATAAAAGTGGATACTGAGGTCAACACCAAACACCAAATGGCGATAGTTTATTCCATAGCTGAATACAATCGCTCAAGCAAGAAAAAAGAATTTTTCGAAACTGAACATAATATTTGGTACAACTACATCTAAAACAATAAAATACTTAATTAATGCAAAACCGAATATTAATATAAAACCTAAAGGAGGAATTATACGGTATTAACTGTAATAATTGCTACGCGGAATACATCGGTGAAACCTCAAGGAAGTTAAATAAAAGATTATATGAACACAGAAGGGATATTTTACAAATTCACACCCACCATGCATTTGATGCGTGCCGTAAAGAGTCTGGCCATAATTTTTATTAAAAAAATGTTACTTTAATTAAAACCAATTTAGTAAGAGAAAAATATACAGAAATGTTTTAATCGTTAGATGATCCAGAAAAAATTTACGTCCAGGTTCATACATCATTTCTTTTTTCATGGCAGATTTTCTATTATCACAATGTAGAATATTTAATACGAAAAGTAATGTTAACAGAAAAAGAAAAAGAAACTAAATGACATCGGCTAGTCTATATATCCAAAACATATATTTGTAAAAAAAAAAATAAATTTTAAATTTACAATAGCCATTCACATTCATGAGCGTGTCTAGTCGCATCAAAGTAAACATCACCTTAGTGAAAACGGTTACACAAACACTTTATTTCACTTTGTCATAGGTTTCCCTGAAAATGTTCTTTATATATAAAAAAATATATATAATTTTTCCATATATATATATATATATATATATATATATGTGTGTGTGTGTGTGTGTGTGTGTGTGTGTGTGTGTGTGTTTACGTAAATATGGAGGTAAAAATACATATAATGGAATTATATATACCTCATTTCGTGAATACAGATGGCATATGCATAAGCCAAAATAAAATAAAAAGTTCGAAATCAGCCCAACGACCCAATTCTTCTAATCAAAGAAAACATCAGAACAGAACAAAATTATAGGAAAACTGGAATGCATAATTTGCAAGATAAAACTTTGGAACACAAATGAGCTTTACACTAGAAACCATCTTGGAACAAGCTTGGATAGTCTTGAAAAACTGGAAATCTGTTAAAGAACCCTCCAGGTAATATAGTTACTGGAATTATCAAGAATACACAGAAGAATGCACATTATTGAGGAAAGTGGCAATCAATTGATTTCTTGTGTAAGTCATCCGGAACTATTGATGTGAAAACTTAAAGTGTACATGCTCTTTATACTTCTCTATATCTTCATTAGGATCTTAATTAATTGGGGGTGTTGACATGTCCATATTTTGTCCTAGGCCCCAAATCCATTGTTATCAAATCCTCTCTCTCAATATCACATTAATTTGGCTTTTCAGACTAGATGTTAGGTTGGACATTTATTGGTTACATATATTTATAACCCAGTATCACTTTGTCGGCATTATTCATTACTGCTACTACTACTACTCCTAATAATAATTTTTATTCTTGCTGCACAGGACTAATGCTTGCTAACTAGAATTTGCCAAGCACAGATACTGAAAATTATGTCAGCCCCAAATGCAGACTCTGTGATAAATATTCAGGAACAATTGACCATAATGTATCCGGTTGCACGGTATTGGCATCTACTGAATATAAAACATGGCATGGACAGAATGGGCTAATATCTGTATTGGAAAATTTGAAACTTTTACGGAAAGGAAACTACAAGAAATTGGTATGAACATCACCCAGACTCAGTTATAGAGATAGAATCTGTGTCAATTTTATGGGACTTTACAATACACAGAGACAGAACAATCAAAGCTAATCACCCAGACATTGAGATCAAAGACCGCAAAAGCAATACGCGACATATTGACATGGTAATCCCCGCAGACTAATATATGTTTGAATTTTTTCAAAAGTCTATCAAAATACAAAGACTGAAATGGAAATCTCGAAAATATGGCACGTAAAGACAGTAACAATTCTAATTGTAGTTGGAGCCCTCAGATTGATTGGAAAACGTTCTGATAAACTCCTTGAAAGTATTCCTTGTAGCCCAGACCTTAAAGAAATACAAAATATTGTACTCACAAGTACAGTCCACACCTT